AAAAAAAAAAAAAAAAAAAAAAGAGTTATTTGGACCCATAGACAAAACTGAAATAGCCTGACCACTCAGCCGTGGGACATCCTGTAAACTCTACGTAACTCATCGAATTTTGAGTTTTCGTTACGGTCTGGAGCATCGATTCAAGTCACTGAATCCGCCTGTTTCGGGGGTTGTTTACTCTTCGTTTTTGGCACGTCTTGGCGTCGGAGTGTCGCCGCGCGCGAGCCAGGAATATTACGAGAACCTAACGACGGAGCTTAACGAGAATTAACAGGCGTGATCTCCGATCCGGCGTTGCCAAACTCGAAAAATGCACGCGGCCCGCGGTAGGAGATTCGAGCGATTTTTCAATGAAACGACAACGCCGCCACGAAAAGCTCGCGGCCCTTAAGCTCTACCGGTGGTTGCAAAGGTAATGAAATGAAGGGGAAGGTAAACAGCAGGGTAGTGCCGTATGAGTTCGGAAAATTGAAAGATCGGAGAGTTCTTGGAATCACTCCCAGGTGCCGGTTTTGGGAAGGTCTTAGCAATGGTAATGTAGCCAACGTGCGTTACAATTCAGCATAAAGCTGAAAATCCCAGTACAGAGGGAACAAGCTCATATGAGCACAATCAAAGAGATGTGCTATTTGGTGCTGGTTTTGGACTAGTGTTAAAACAGGGAAAAAGCTCATATGAGCACAATTATCCCTAAAAGAGATGTGCTGTTTGGTACTGGTGGACGGTGGTGGACTAGTGTTGCAACAGGGACAAATCTCATATGAACACAATTATCCCTAAAAGAGATGTGCTGTTTGGTACTGGTGGACGGTCGTGGACTACTGTTGCAACAGGGAAAAAGCTCATATGAGCACAATTTTCCCTCAATGAGATGTGCTGTTTGGTGCTGGTGGTGGACTAGTGTTAAAACAGGGAAAAAGCTCATATGAGCACAATTTTCCCTCAAAGATATGTGCTGTTTGGTGTAACACTAGTCCACCACCAGTACGAAACAGCACATCTCGTGAGGGAAAATTGTGCGCATATGAGCTTTTTCCCCTCTGTATTGAGATTTTCAGGTTTATGTTGATTTGTAACGTACGTTGGCTACATTATCAACTTTCGGTCTAAATGACACGTGCGTCTATTGCAATCAGTGTGTTAGCAATGGAATCGAAATACTGTTATTTCATCCCCAGATAATAACTCAATTATCAGGTGCAAATCACCTGAAAAAAGTTGGGTTTTTCTTATCACTTCCAGATTCTTTGGGGTACACTAGATTGTGAGTCAATGGTAGGGTGAGAGTACATCATTTTGACAAGGTAAAGAGCTTCCCAAGGAGTACCCCAATTTGTCAGGGACAGGAGGCTCTCATTAAATTGTAGTTGTGTGGAATTATTGTACCCTTGGGTAGAGGAGGCGTCATCTAATTCGGCACTTGTTTACATTCCGCTTGCAAGCAATCGCGATGGAATCGTCCAATCGCGATCGAGGATTGACTGTAGACCGATTGTGAGCGTACAATCCCGGTTCCCTATTGGACGACTGCATCGCGGTCGCGTGCAAACGGAATGTGAGCAAGTGCCAACTTACGGTGTGCCATACGCATTCGGTATTTTTACGTCAATCGATGCAGTCACGCTATGCATCAACGTCACTTTGTTTTATATGATAGTTACAATGAATCGCATGTGTTTTTTTAGTCAATTATGAAAATCAATTGTGCACTGAAAAAAAAGTTAAGTTGATTTAACATTCTGAATGTGAAACAATTGCGCGAGAACTTACAAAATGCTGAATTAACAAAACTTGCTGAATGACTAAGCAATGTCAAGATGTAAAACTAATACTGCCGTAACGGGTAATTTAGCATTTTGTGAGTTCTCGCGCACTTTTTCAACATTCAGAATGTTAAATCAACCTCACTTTTTTCGGTGTGTTTAGTGGAGTATGGCCTTTACAATATTTGACTCGACAATTTTGAACACAAAAACAAAATACTTTCAAATACTGCTCATTGAGCCGTTTAAAGAGTCGTCCAGTTCGTTTAGAAACCCTAATTCAATGTCCGAAATCTTGCCAGGAAATTGCTCATCCCGATATCCATCAGTCAGTGCGGCAAATTTTGTGTGGTTCTTTGTTTAATAAGTTGCTCATTATTATTTCAAGATAATCTGTATTGTTGCGGCTATGAAGCTTCAACCGTTCATTTTACGTACACACTCCGCTAAGATACTAACAAGATAGACACTAAGTTACAACAAATAACTTAAGACACTTTGGTGACTAGAGTGAAATTGAAGGCGCTACATGAGCAACTATTTTAACTCCACGGAGGCGCTGATTGCATATTCTCAAAATTGAAGGCGTTTGTTGCGCGAGAGCACAAAACCTTGGGAGTCTCCAAACATGACTTTCAGACCGGTGCGCTATTTTAACCCACAGCGCAGGTAAAATACCATAGAAGATGGAGACGAGAAAGAGGAAGATGGAAATAAAAATAGAGTGATAAGAAAAAAAGAGAAAAGGGAGGAAGGAGGATGAAAAAGAAGAGGGAAAAGAGATTTTTCTTTCTTTTTCACACTCTTCTTTTTGTTTATCTTCTTTCTTCATCTTTTGCAATTTCTCTCCGTAGACAAAAAGTAGCATTGACTTCCAAATTCAACTTTTGCTTGAATTGATTACATTGGGTGGATTGTTAGTGCGGAGCCTTTAAATTGTATACTCTCTCTGTGCTCTTTACATATCCTGTGTCTATTTTTCGCGATTTAACGATCAAAAACCAAAATAATCGGAAATCCGGCAACTCGGCAAAGAAAATGGCTGTAACGAGGCTCGAGACGACGAAAATACGACGATAAGTTTAATTAAAACATTACACTTGCATGACGCGGTGAGTCGATGTGCTCGGAGAGCGCTTGCCGGATCGTCCGTAAAAATGCTCTACTTCAGGTGCGTTAAAGGGGGTATTTTCGGGGGAAAAGGCAACGATGGACTCATGCTTGGGGTGGGGGGGGGCGGGGGCGGCGAGTGATTCGGCGGTCGCACGCACGAAAGGCCACAGGGGGGCGGGGGGGGCGATCCCGTCGATGTCAGGCAGATTTATGATAAGGATCCAATTTCCTCGTTGGCTCTCCTCATTTTCCCCCTGTTTGCACCTTCGTAGATGACCGATACCCCGTGTACGGGGTGTTCCGCCTTGGTCACGAAAAAAAAAATTACGCACTGAAAAAAAAACTCCGGCCTTGGGAGCCGCAATTACGGGCTATATAGACAAACCGTCCGTTCCGGGCTCAAAGGCTGAAAATTCCGGCTGCTAGAGCCGTAGCTTCGGCCTCTGAACCCAGAGCAATCGAAGCTACGCCTACAGCAATCGGAATTTTCGGCCTCTGAGCCCGGAACGGACGTTATGTCTATATAGCCCGTAATTGCGGCTCCCACGACCGGAGTTTTTTTCAGTGCGGATATACTCTTTTAAAAAAAGCAAAATCACGGAAAAGTGATATTGCTGATTTGACAGTTATGTAGTTGAAAAAATGTGTCCGAAATGTTTCAATGTATATGTAACAATGAAAAAAGGTTAATTTTACCACACCATGGTTCAATTAACTCTTTACTTTTGTAAAATGTACATTTGAAACATGTCGAACATATTTTTCGACAATTTAATTGTTATTTCAGCAATACTTTTTTTCCGTAACAATTGGAAAGGAATTAATTGACCAGGATTTCTGTGCCTTTGTGGACCGTATTGAGCAGAAAGGAACCAAGCCACATCAGCTATTCCAAAATTTAATTGGTTGATTTAATTTTTTACATGATAACGGCTGTGCGGATTTTTGTGCAAATTTCAGTAAATTTTCTACATAGTACGAAGCAAATCCCTTAAAATTTTCAAAGGAATCCGCACGTTCTCTTATAAAAAAATTAAATTGACCATGTAAATTTTGAAATAGCTGAGATAGCGTGTTTCCTCTCTGCTAAGCACGGTGCATACTATAGTTTGAAATCCAGACCAATTGAGAAATACCAGGATTCATCGATAAACGATAAAAATCCTGTAAAATAAGAGAATTGGAGTTAATAATTGGGAATTTATCCTTTCTAAGCTCCGAAATCAAATGGATTTTAAAATTTGTGGTCCGCACGGAAAAAAGTGTGTTAATTTCAACTATGCTTCTGGATGATTTTAGCACGGGGTTGCGCCAACCCCCGAATGGATGATTCTACCCAATTTTCTACTAAATCAACAGTAGCTTTGGCTAATGCCTTCCTATTTATGGCTGGCGCCAAAATTAGCCAAGATTTTAGTCGGAATTATCGTATTTTTTTCCTCCCTTGCACACAGTCTTAGAGAATCCGACGAATAAGGTTGATTCTTCTACTCGAAATAAGGTGAAAAATTTGGCTTCCTGCAAGCGATCCTAAAAGAAGAGAAGAAATCCCACGATTTCATCGAGAAATTTATCCGCGTAAATAGGAAACCATCAGGGAATGGAAGAATTCAAGCATTCTGAAAACTGTGCTTCATCGTGAAGATATAGGTACTGATATGATATTTCCCGAAAAGAACGCGGTTGGATCAGCTCCAATGATTCAGAAGTAGTAATACATTTCAATTTACGGAATTTGTCCACAAAAGGAAAATAAATACGGTTTAAATTCTCTGTGAATTACTTTCGAGTATATTTCAACGATTCGGTCATGAGAAAACCTTTCTTTTCTTGAGTTCTCGGGTAATATTTATTTAGTCTAATATTGCTAGCAAGAATTAATTTGAATACTTAATATTGGAAGAGCTAAAAGGTGCGTCGATCACGTACCTACCCTTCCAACCGTTCGAAAGCTACTCTCGTTGAATTGTGAAGCGACAGCGAGAACAATCGGTTATGATTTGAATTGAGAGGTCAAAATATTTGCACCGACGATAGAACTTGCATTATTCATGCGCACGAAACCACAAGAAAGAAAATAAATGTTTTCAGTGCAATAAATTTTAGAAAGTTTTAAACACTTACATTTTTAGCAAGCTTCTTGATCTGCTTGCTCCCTTTCCACCAGGTGATGACAGCTTCCGGTCTGGAGCCGGATGCCACGCACTCAATTGAGTACCTCTTGTCTGCCGATATTGTCTTATTCTTATTCGTGATGTTTACGAAGATCGGTTTCACTGCGCAGAAATGGAAAATCTCTCATTAGGGCCATGTGTGAGTGAAAGAATTTTAAGAGAAACATGAAAAATGACGGTATCTTCATAACTCGGATCGCATTTAGCAAAAACGGAACCAGCAGAATTACAAGTGTTTTCAAAATTGTGCAACTTCATATTTTCTTTTAAACATACTTAATATACGTAAAACTACAGTTTACACATTTTTTCCCGTTTAAAATTAACAATTTTGAGAGATACTTTGATGTTACAAGCTGTATACTTGTATTATTGAAGATGATAGGTCAAAATGTCCGACAAAAAATGTCCAAAAGTCAAAATGTCCAAACTCAAAAGGCCAAATATCAGTAATGTCCAGCAGACAAATAAGTCTAAAAATGTTTTTTCTTGTTCATAACAACTTCCTATATCAACTATATTGGCGTTTAATTTGGACATTCACCTACTTTTGGACTTATTTGTCTGCTGGACATTAATGATATTTGGCCTTTTTAGATTTTTGGGTATTCGGGGTTTGGACATTTTGACTTTTGGACATTTTGTTTTGGACATTTTGACCTATCACCTTATTGAACGGTCATTCAAAGATATGATTTCTGTGGTCGGGCTTTTTGTTTAAAAAAATCAACAAAGCAATGTGTTTCTTGTATTTCTTATAGTCTTATTTATATCATGCAGCCGACAATAAACGTTCCTCCTCATATGATAATCAGGAAATTGAAGGAATTGTTGCCTGGCACGATACTTACGATTGATATCCAACATGATGGACTTCGAGGTAGGGGGCGTGAGGTTGGTGTTTGATGCTTGACACAAGAGAGTGGAGTTCTGCTCTCTCCTCCCAACATTCGGTAACAACAATTCGTTGATCGTTGTGATTTGACCGTTCAAGTCGGTGTTCACAGACTCAACTGTGTAATCAATCATTTTGTTGTCCAGGTACCAAGTTACATTCGGTTTCGGGCGCCCTGAAATTGAAAAAAATAATTTATTGTTTGGATCAACAGGTCCAATCCTTGCACACTCCGAAGAAACTTAGTTTTCTGGCAGGTCGATTATAGAAATCAGAATCAAATTTTTTCGATCAAAATATAGCCTGCGTGCCGGTGATTGTTAATATTTTTCATCATTTTCCATTTTTCATTCCTGAAATGTTGTATGGTTTGTCTTCGCTTTTCTAAAACTTGTAAACCTTTTTTTTATTCAAGCAAAAATGCTCGTTTTTTTCTTACTTATTTGATTCAAATTTTTATTAAAGAAAAAAAAATAAAACACGAATGTTAACTTGAAAACGCTGCAAATGAGATATAGAATGGATAGTTTCTTTTTTCGACGGTGTAAGTCGGCAATCACATAACTCAGTTTGCGACGTCGTAGACTTCCTGTCATACTTTAATTTTTGATCGGAAAACGACTCGACGGCAATTCCATAAAACTGCCGTGATTTTTCTTCTCTGTACGAAGAAATTTCTGCAAAAACTTCGAGGAATGATGGCAATTTGTTCTCCTTTCAAAAATTAACATACAGGCGGAGATTATCAGACACCGCAAACGAGTTATGTGATTGCCGACTTACACCGTCGTTTTAGTTTTTATGTAGTGATACACCCGTCTTCATCAGTTTTGTGCTCCCTTTGATAATGTCATAAACTTATTAATAGAGCCGAGCCTAGCGAAGCGTAAAAGATAAAATCCGGGTCAAACATTCTAAATACATTTTCATTACTCACCCTCATTCCCATAAATTGTTCAAATCTAAGCACGCCATTTTTCAGCTTTTAAACGGGGAGTCGTGGGAACACCGGAGCATCTCTGTGTTAAAAAAAACATCGTAGGAACATTCGGAAGTTGCCAGATTTACCTAGATAAAGAATTTACTTGTGACCACACAGCGAAGATCTTTCTCCAAGAAAACTTAGTTTTCAAGAAAAAGTACTTAGGTATCAAGCTGAGAAAAAAACTGAATTTCAAAATTTGGACTGCTTTAACCCTGTGCTTTTTTATTGATATACTCGGTGGTAAGGCGTGTTTTTGTCTTCTAAACAGTGTTTCGTGTCTTCAGATGCTTTTCTTCGCAGAAATGGACTTTTTTCGAAAAAAGCAATTCACTGGAAAAAAATTGCGGTCATGTGAACTGAACGTTCGGCGTTCAATATCATTCCATATATTCGGTTTTTCAAACTGAACTTTCGGTTCGTCTAACCGAACGTTCGACATATATTACCGAACTTAGTCTGTCAGTTCTTTATACCGCACACGTTCGGTTACATGAACCTAAATTTCAGTTTGACAAACCGAAGGTTCTGTTTGACGAACCAAAAGTTCTATTTGCCAGACTTAACCCTTTATTGCATAGCGTTACATGAAAGCAACAAATGGTTTTCAGCTTTATTTCTATGCTGGAGTGTTAAATTGAATCAAAGCGAGAAATGATTTTTGGGGAGAGACTGATCTCCTAACTTAAAAAATTACTACAAAAATCGATTTCAACTTACTCTATTGTCGAAAAAATACTCTACAATGTAGATTTTCTCACCAAAATCAACGATTAGCTCATGCAACAAAGGGTTAAAATGCAGTTTGGCGAGGCGGAAAAATTGGGATGATACGGATCACCGAGTTTTGGTACATACGACCGAGCTTTTTTTCCTTGTTCAATCGGCAACATCCGAAAGTTGATAGGGCGTTTTTGCTCGGACCTGCAGAGCTCCTTAGGATCACTGCAGCACATAAATTCCGGCGGAGTGACACGGAGAGTCTTTGGGCTTTGTCTCGCTTTTTACCGGGCGCGCGGTGGCCCTCGGCAAAGACGGAATAAACAGAAGACGGAATTCTCCTCGTATATCCGAGCGCGACTCCTTAGAGGCGGCAAGCGCGGAGGAGAGTTAAGCGTGAGTAAAAGAGAGTGGCTTACCTCCGGATACCTCGCAGACCAAGTTAACGTCACTGCCCTCCCGGTAGGACTCCACTTTGCTCGTTCGCCGCACCGTTTGCTTGTTGTAGATGACCGGCTGCTCCGGTGGAACTGCAACAAAATAAAAGAAATTCACGTTTTTCAACTTTTCCATGGACGCAGTTCGTTTGGGGGGAAATATCTCCAGGAGTTTCGAGAAATACAGCCGCAACGAGCACTGGAAAAAAAAACACATTATTGGATCTAGATTCCGGACTCTTGAAAACATTGAAAAGAAAAAACTTTTTTGGAAAGCTCAGACATGAAATTTTTTGCTAAAGCTACAACAAATCGGTGACCAAAGTGCGAAACCACAGATATCCGTTTGCGACGTTGCAGACTTTCTTTCATATTCCATAGCTCCCTTGAATAACTAAACTGGTAAAAAACACATTGGATCTAGAGACTAGACTCTTGAAAACATCGACAAGAAAAAATACTCTTGATTCAATCGGATTTTTGCTTGAATCAAAACGAAATCCGCTTAAATTAAGAGGCTTGGTTCTAGATTTAAGCTAGATTCTGATTGAATCAAAAATACTTTTTCTTGTCAATGTTTTTAAGAGTCTGGAATCTGGATCCAAAGTGTTTTTTTTTCTTCTCCCAGTGAGCGCGTGACGTTTTCTGGCCATAATAGGTCAGTTGCGCAAGTCGCAGAGTTGTTATTTGATTATAGGTCGTAATCGATACATCAAAAAGATGCGAAGAAGTGATGTGAGGGAACAGGTTATTTATGATAGATTTTTAATCAGAGACCAGCTTTCATTCAGCGACTTTATTCTTGATTTATAATTATATCTTCTTGACGGCATACTCAAGAATGTTTCTGCCTAAATCGAGTCACTTTTTCCTCTATGAAATTCAAAAATTATGCGAAACGTAAGTAAATGCGGATGCTAGGACTTAGTGAGGTATTGGACAACCGCTCTGTTTTTGGGCCGTAGTATCTCGCTTTATTTTTCAAGGAAAGCTCCGTCCTTTTAAAGGATGCATGTCATTCTTAATATGTTGGAGGGCCTTTAATTTTGTATGATACTGCGCAACACCTCTGTTGCGGGATCGTTGTTAGAAGCGCCGTGGCATACCGCGCGCCGCGGCCGCGGCAGGCGAGGAAGGCGACCAGCGCGGTACGCGCATTGGCGCCTTCAAACCTAACAGGGATACTTCCCGCATTGCGCAATGCGTGCAGTATTTCTGTTGGGTTTGTAGGCGCCAGCACGCGTGTTGCGCTGGTAGCACGCCGCGCCGCTCTGTATTTGGCTCTAATATTTAAACTCGCGGAGTCAGCATATTTTTCAACTCATGATTTTGAAATGTTCGCCCACTCTGCATAGATTATTATTATAATTAAAATTGATGGAAAGAGAAACATTATTGAAGGAAAATCTAATGTGTGTTTCGTTAATATTAAGGTGGTCCCGTGTCAAATTTCATGATTTCCAAAGCATTTTAACTTTTTCTTTTATATTTTGTGCTTTTAGTGTACTGCAGCGTGGTGTGCGCGCAATCAAACGCTCAAAGTTGGACGTATTTGACTTTAAAATATCGATGTAGAAATGGGTTGAATCCAAGGATTACGCTTTTCTTGGTTTTTTTGTCGCTTTCATTCATTTTTGTATTGTTCCTTCCAACAAAACTACGGTTTATTGAGATTAATTTCGATGCCATCACTTGAAAAAGGTTGTACAATTATTTGCCACGTTTTAAAACGTAATTATTTTTAAAATGAAATTATATTTTCATAAACAAAAGTATATTGAAGGTATAATTCATATCGAGTTAGGTTTGAAGGATGGAAATAAAAAAAAATATTCGCCGATGACAATTTTAAAAGATGAATGAACAGAAGAGGGTAACATTTCATTTTAAAAATGAGTTGCAAAATCTCCTTCTCTCTCAATTTTCTCATTTCGATATTTTCAATATAATTTTACATACAGACTAAAATATCATGCTTGGATCAAGTCAATGTTGCTTATTTTACGCATGGACGTAATCTACTGGACAAAGCAGGACAAAAAATCATTGACGGAATGTCCTTATAGCAACAGCAGATTATATGCATTGTTAATTGGGGCTAGACTGATCTGATGAAAATCAACCCAAGTGAATTTCCTATTGTCTTATGTTTGATTTCCGTATTTACTGGAGAACTAAACGACAAGACGTCTCGAAACTTTCCCGGCATTCTCTTAGAAAGAAGCCTGTGTGTATATCCTTTATAATCTGAAGTAAATTCACAAAAAGTAAGGAGTTGTTGAGAAGTTCATTTCTCTGTGAAACAAATGAACCATAATTGGACTGCATTTTGCAATTTGGAACTATAAATTCTGGCTCTTTTGGAAAAATACTTATGTGTACAGGAGAACTGATGGCACATACGTTGCTTTTAAACTGGGCTAGAATTTATAGTTCCAAATTGCAAAATGTAGTCTTATTGATCATTTGGCAACGTGAGATTTAGTCAGCCGATTCCTGTAAAATTCGTCCAAACGTAAACCCCAATCAGCCAATTTCCACAAACGACTCTTTCCGCTTAAAAATCGGTTATACTTTTACGGTGAGCTCTACCCAATTTGTTTTCAGTTGCAGTACTAAACCCAGCAATAGCTTCGAAACTCGATGAACAAAACTCTCGATTTAAAGGTAACCAAAAATGTGCCAAAAGTAACGCCCGCAATATAAACTAAACTGGCGCTCAGGAAATAGTTCGGGGAGCCAACTGCTGATAATTTTATTCCCCGTCGGAGAAAAAGCGCTGGCTGTAATTAAAACCAGCAGATTGTGAATCCGATAAGTAAATCGTTCGATATGATAACCCAACAAGTCCGCTTTGTGATGAACCGTGAGCTACATAAGAACACGCGTGCTTTGGGGCTCACCGTGTGATGGAAATTTCAAGTTCTAGCATCCAGCGATTGGAGTGTCAGGCAGGTGCATTTTATGCCCGCCGAACGAGGGACCGAACAATGGTGGCTCCGTAATTGAAACGATACCAATTGTAATAAACGGATTAAATTTCGGCCCGACGACCCCCTCGGATTATTATATGATTGGGCGTGGTGACGCCAGCGGGCGAAAAGGTTAACACCTGAGCGTGATATTCGGGGCTGCATGTTGACGATTCACCGTAAAACGTTGACTGTTCTGATGGATCTTCGTTTAATGCTCTCGTCAGGAGTTAATGTCGGTTTCATGCGTAAAAATAAGCAGTTAAATCTTCATGGCCGCAATAATTTTGTTTAGCCTCGGATAATTTGTGGGGTTGGAACAGAGCAGACAATATATTTTTGAGACCTCGCGATAACGGTCTATGCAACGTAGTCGAGCGAAGCATGGAAATCAAGGCTACTTTTCGTCCACGAAAAGTAGGATCAAAAAAAGGAGGAATGAGAATAAGAAGCGGAGAAAAAAGAAAAAAGAAAACGGGAAATTCCATTTTCTTAAGTTTCTTAAGTCCAAAATCTTAAGTTTGGAGGTCAATGATTCTTTTCGTCCACGAAGAGAGGGAACAAAATATGAACAGCGAATATAGCGAAGAAAATGAGTGAGAAGACGCGAAGGAAGAAGAGAAAGAAAGAACAAAAATCCCATTTTCCTTGTTTTTGTCGTCCTCCTTTTCTTTTCCTCCTTATTCTTCTTGTTTACTTCCTCTTCTCGTTTCCGTTTTCTAGGGTCTTGTCCTAACGAGCTGCACTGAAATAGCGCTCCGATCTAAAGGCGCTCTCGCGCAGCAAATATATTTCAATTTTTAGAATATGCAATTAGCATCATCGTAGAGTTCAAAAAGTTGCTTAAGGTGCGCCTTCAATTACAATCTAGTCGTCATGGTGTCTCGTTAAGCGGCTTTGTTGAGTGAATATTGAAAAATCAAAAGGCGTGTTTTTTCGTTCAATGCTGATGTAAAACACGTTGAATGTGCTAAGATTTTTCAAAATCGACTCAAAAATAAGATACTTTTATTAATTTTTTGTGAAAGTAAATTCAACCTTTTCTTAGGGGTAAAAGAATCGACGGGGATCAAATGTGTGATCGAAAATTTGAATTGTTTGCGTCGACTTTGGAAACTTGGATTTCAGTTACATTCCACCTCCTGAAAAATGACATTGCTGCAATTCGTACCCCGTTACCTGATGTCAATGATTCGCCTTCAAATGGCCGGGCATGCAAAATGACTGCCGTGACGCACGAATAGTGGTATCAGAATTTTGCATTAAGTTTAAGGATCGATTTGAAGGCGCTCTTCTGTATTCATTGTGATTGGCCTTGTACAATGATGTTGACCAAAAAGTTCATAATTTTGGGTATTAAATCGAGCCGCATATTCAAAAAATGCCGAGGAATATTATTTTGAAAAATTAATAAGATTGTTTTTGATCTCTACGTCTTATCTCAAAGATGAGAGCGCAGGCGGTTGGATCAGATTGTGTATTTTAAGTCCCTTGGTTGGGTCATCGTTTTCCGAAGCGAAACTGAAAGAGTCGCCGTTTACAAGATCGCAACCCCGGAGTCTTTCCTCCCTAAGAATATCTAGTGGGATTGCTGTAATTCGTCCGCCGTTGCCTGAAGTCAATGATTCGCCTTCAAATGGCCGGGCATGCAAAACGACTACCGTGACGCACGAATAGTGGTATCAGAATTTTGCATTAAGTTTACGGATGGATTTGAAGGCGCTCTTCTGTTTTCATTGTGATTGGCCTTGTACAATGATGTTCACCAAAAAGTTCATAATTTTGGGTATTAAATCGAGCCGCATATTCGAAAAATGCCGAGGAATATTATATTGAAAAAATAATAAGATTGTTTCTGATCTCTACGTCTTATAATTCAAAGATGAGAGCGCAGGCGGTTGGATCAGATTGTGTATATTAAGTCCCTTGGTTCGGACATCGTTTTCCGAAGCGAGACTGAAAGAGTCGCCGTTCACAAGATCGCAAGCGGTTGTGAATTTAAAAATTTTGGAAACTTGAATTTCAGTTACATTCCATCACCTGAAAACCAACGGGCTGTCGTCATGAGCCGTCAAATTGCCGTAAAACATGCGAAAACTAATGAAGTGGTTAAAGGGATCT